GTCTTCTCCTCCGCCTCCCTGCGCGCCTCATCCAACCTGCACCGCCACGCAACCTCCGCCTCCTCGTGCTGGCACCGCTGCTCGTCCAGCTGCGCGCGGAGGCTCCGTGTTTGCCGCCACTGCGCCTCACGCTCCTTCGCGAGGCTGTCGCGCTCCTCCACGGCCGCAGCGAGTTCCTGCCGCAGCTGCCGTGTGCGGCGGTCCCACTCGTCGTCCTCCAGCTTGACTCGGGACTCGAGCAGCGCGCTCTTCGCCTTGAGGGCGATGAGTTCCTGCTGCTGTGTTTCATGTTGCGTTGTGAGAGACGCAAGCTCCAACTGCGCCCGCTCCCCGCGGCGCTGCACAACCTCGTAGTCGCTGCTCAGCGACTCGAACAGCGCGCGGATCTGCTGCAGCGCGTTGTCCTTCCGCGCAACCTCGTCGAGCAGCTCGCGTACGCGCTGAGACGACTCCTGCATAGCTGGCGATCCTGCTGCTGCTGCTGCTGCTGCTGCTGCTCCCCCTGTTGCTGGTGTTATGGGTGGGGCTGATGTCATTATCTCTATGGAGGCGATCCTGCTGGGGAACGGCAACGTGCCCACTGCTTGCTGGTGAAGCCCAGTAGCCTCTGCTCACGCCTATTATCACCACCCTGGCTGCGTCGCGTCACCTCACACCGTGAGAGAAGTCACGGTGAAGTGAAATAATAAAATTTAAAAAAGGAAAGTAAGTCGAAGAATCGATCGCGAGAGGCATCGAACAGAAATAAGAAGCAAACAACAGAAACAGCAGCCGCCAAAACAAGAACGAAGAACGAAGAACGAAGAACGAAGCGAAGAGCCGTCAGCCTGTTAGCTTCACTCAGTACACGCCCACACGCACACAAATGCACTGACGCAGGCGGTTCGTGCGGACTCTATTTTCTTCTCTTGCCCACGCGCCCCTGTCACTCCTTGTCTCTCTGTTTGCTTCGTTTTTTTTTTGCTTATTTTTCTTGTGTTGCGCTCTTTTGCTTAAAGCAATGCAACTCTCTTGGCCAAAGTCCTCATCCCTCACTCTCTGTGAACCTCATCGCTCTCCCGCGCCCGCACCGTCGCCTCCACCTGCTGCTGCTGGCTAGACAGGTAGTGCCGCACCGCATTCAACTCACGGTAGTAGCGGGCAAGGTGCGAAATGTGACGGCTCCTCCCCTCATCCATGACGGAACCGGCAACACCACCGCCAGCTGCGCCGTAGTCTGTGCCTTTGCCCATCACGGTGCTGTCCCCGGCAGCGGCAGCGGCAGCGGCGGCGGCGGCGTTAGGTAGGCCAAGTGCGACCGCCAGGTTCTCTAAGTGGCTCTCCGACGTTGCAAGACACACCGCGGCCTGCTCCCAGCGCGCGTCGATGTTACGCCGAAGCGCCGCGTCGGCAGTGCGCCACTGATCAGCGAGACTACTCCAACCGCCGCTGCCTGCTGCTGACGGCAGCGATTGCCTGCCGGCACTCGCCGACGCGGTTGCGAAGGGCGGCGGGGGCTCGTAGCTTGGCGAACGCGCAGGCACGTCCAACAGCTGCCGTGCCTGCTGTAGGTAGTACGGCACGATTTGCGGCACGGCCAGCAGCACGTCCTCTCGTTTCCTCGCCTCTGCCGTGGCGAGTTTCTCCAGGTACGCGATGGCGCGCCCGACCTGCCGTGTGTCTAAGTAGTGCATCCCCAGCCGCCGCACGAGCGGTGGGTAGAAGTCGGAGGCTGGGCTCTCGTACGTCTCCGCACGCTCGAGGCACAACATCGCCTCGCTGGTACGCCCCTCGCGGTCAAGGCAGTTCGCGACGGCTGACCACATGCGCGGGTCAGTGGGGCGCAGCGTGGTGGTGTGCCAGTAGTAGTACAGCGCGTGGTGATAGAACTGCAGCAGCTCGTAGATTTGGCCGAGGTTGTACCACCCGCGGTAGTCGCGCTGGTCAAGGTCAACAGCGGTACGGTACGCCTCCACGGCGGCCGCGCTGTTCTTCGTCTCTAGGTACGCATGCCCAAGCAGCGTCCACGCGGCGAGGAAGGTCGGGTCGGCGGCGACCGCACGGCGGAAATGCAGCACGCCGCGGTCGTGCGCGCCCATCAGCACGTAGTAGTTTCCCACAATGTAATTGCTCTCGGCGCGAAAGGGGTCGATGTGGTACACCTGCTGTGCGAGGCTGCTCAGGCCAATGCGGTCACCACGGAGGAAGAGGACAATGGAATAGTCGTCCATCGACTCTAGGCGATATGGATCTGTATCATGCAACCGCTTGTAGAGCGTCTGTGCCTTTTCAAGGTCCTTCTTTACGTTGTAGTAGTAACCCGCAAGGCTCGAGAGGAGGAAAGGGTTGTTAGGGAACTGCTCCAGCAGCACCTCCCAGGAGTTTACAAGCCTAGGAGAGGCGGCGCCATCGCCTCGGCGCTGCTGAGGGTGCTGCCGTTGGTAATCGTGCTCCATCTTTGGTTGTGGTGAGGAGCTGCTGTGGTGCGGGCTCGTACTCCGTTTCCCCGAGACAGCAGGGGCATTAGCAGCAGTCGCAGCAGATGCAACTGATGCGGGCTCAAATGAGAGCGGTGCAACGTTAAGCGCAGCCTTCACTGAGGCCAAAAACATCTCCGGCATAAATCGCGGCTCCAGAGAGGCGATCATCGCCTCTATCTCCTCAATCTGGTTCTCCCGACTGACGAGCGTACACAAATCCTCCCATGCGCACCAGAGCATGGGGTGACTACAGAGGGCCGCCAGAAAATACGTGGCGCTCTCCTGCTTCATGCCAAGCTCACGCAACACGACGCCGTGCAGCCAGCAGAGGAACGGGTCGCCGTACGCCGCTGCACCACCGACTACACCAGTCGCCATGCTCGGCGACGACCGTGAATCCGCCTTTAAAGACGGTCGCATTGGGAGTGAAGCTGCCGACGGCGTTGATGACGAACGTCGTTGTTGTTCAAGCGCAGTGAGCAGCAGCCCACGCAACATAAGCAGGTTTGGGTTGCTACTCTTGCGTAGGTTGCTGCTGGTGCTTTTAATGCACTCTCCCGCCATGTATAACGAGTACAAACACAAGAACTGCAATTGTGGTGGGGCCGATGGAGACGAAGGCGACTGCTGTTGTGACTGTTGTGATGTGGAACGGCTGCCCCCGCGCGGCAAGGGTTTTTCCCCCTTTGCGTGTGCTTCACCCTCCTCCCTTGCTGCCGCCGTTGTTGATGTTGCTGTTGCGGTGTATTCCTTTAGGGCGGTGTTGAGTAAGTGGTGACAGCGCAAGTACTCACCCTTCTGGACGAGGGCCAGTGCAAGAACGTGGTAGCGGTGGGCACGCCCCGTGAGCGGCAGATCCTGCACTGCCACACATACGGGTGAGGAGGCAGGGATAGTCTCTTGCAGCACACTGTCAGTGGCGTCTAGTGCGAGTTGTCCCAGCCACGACGCGCTGTCGAAGAGACCGCGTTGCATGCACTGATCCATCGTGCGGTCAAGCACCTCAGCCGTCGTGAGGTGTCTGCCCCCGCCGCCATCGCTGACGTCCTGTCGGTGCATTCACGTTGTGGATGATGATGCTGTCTCAGATGCGCCCCTCTCAGACCTCCTTTGTATTCCTTCCGCTATGTGGCTGTCGAAGCGTGCGTCTCGTGTGACACACAACTGTCGACAGCCCAAGCAATCTTTCAAAGCGAGACACACAGAGACACAGACAGACAAGTGAGCGATACAGAGAGTGAGACAGAGCTAGGGAAACACGGCTCAGAGTGTTCAAATGACAGATGAGAATTGCGAGAAGAAGCAGAAGGATAAGAAAAGACAGCCTTTCACACTTCCTCGAACGCTCGGTTTATTTCACCGGGATGGTTTCTTGATTATTCATCATTCCCAACTTACCACTGCGTATCTTGTTTCTTTAAATAATGAGATCAACATCCAACCGACACACACACACACACACATACACATACACATACACATACACTAGTGCGTGGACCACTCACTCCTCCTCCTCGATCTCACAGTCGCGCGGCCGTAGTCCAGAGCCGCAGATGCCTTGAGGCCGGCCGTCCAAGAGCTGCTTGTTATTGGCAGTCGCACCAGGTCCCGACCCGGTGTTCTTGGAGTTGTCGCGCGAGCCCGCTGCTGCCGGATCTGCCGGCGCTCTCGTCGTCGTTTCATCCCCGTCGTCGGCGTCGTCGTAGGGGGCAATGCCAAGCCACTTCAAGATGGTTGGTGCCGCATCCATGTGGGTGACGGGTCGTGTGAATGAGCGCAGCCGTGTGTAACCGCGGGCGTTTGTTGTGTACGTCGCGGTGAAGAATGGCACGACCTCATCCTCGTCACCGTTGCGGCCAAACGATTTGCCAACACCGCCGTGGTCGCTTGTGCCGACAACGAGCCAGTTCTCTTTGTGTGAGCGCGCCCGGTCCCGCACGATGGCAAGCACTTGTCCAATGAGACTGTCTAACAGGAAGGCCTGCGCAGTGTACTCTAGCGAGTCCGCGGCGTACGTGAAGTCGGGCAAGCCAGCGTCCCCTGCGCGGCGTGCCAGTGTGTTAAAGTGGAAGATGAAGAGACTCCCATCAGCTGCTGTGCTGCTCGCGCTCTCATGTTCCTCATTGACGAGACCGCCTAAAACATCACTAAGGTATTTCGTGAACTGCTGTTCCTCCTTGCCGTCACGGCCATTGGCGAGTGTCAGCACACGCTTAAAGAGGTTACATGAGCGCTGGTGCAGGCAACTCATCAAGGACGACGCATCGTCTCCTGTTCTCGTGAAGGCTGCGGCGGCTCTTTCGGCCTCTGTGGTTGCCTGCGACTGCGCGTCTCTGCCGCGCAGCCCCACCGGTGTTTCGCACTCCGCGTCAAGCAGCCCCGCTTCACTGCACTGCCCGCTGCCGGTGTTGAGGGCGTTGAGCATGTGCGAGGTGCCAAGCGCGACGACGTGTCGCCTGGCGCTCGTGACGCGCATAGCGATAGTCGGGAAGTGCGCTGTGGTGTCCGCCATGACGCTGTACGACTGCCACGAGTCGTTGCGCACGCGGTGGCGGCGCGGCGTGACGCCGGTGAGAATCGTCGCGATGCCGGCGCCGGAGGAAATGAACGGCTCGCCCGTCGTGTCGTCCTCGACAAGGACTGCGCGGGCGCAGCGGGCGTCCTCAAGCGTCGCGCACGCCGCATAGACGCCGTGCTGCTCCAGCAGCATGCGGCGGATGTGCGGCAGCCGCTCCCCCTCCAGCAGCGCGTTGAAGGTGGTGCCCTTGAAGCCCTCCACGACGATGAGAACCGCACGCGGCACACCCGCCACCTTCGGCGCGCTGCCGCTCGTGAGGACGACGCTGAGGAACACGCCCAGCACGAGCACCACAATGAGGAGGGGCAGGAAGACGGTGGTGCAGCAGCGGCCGACCACCGCCACGTCGGCCTCAGCGTCGGCGCGATCAACGATCTCCTGCACAGTCACATGCTTGCGCGTGCTGCTGCTCGAGGCGGCCGCATCGAGCGCCAAGCCGCCAGCGAGGGGGTGCTGCGGCTTAGCCTGGCTTGGTAGGCCACCATTCCGCACAGGTGAGTCTTCACCGAACCGCATCGGTTACCGTTTTCTTTCGTGGTGGTTTCCTCTATCTTTCTTCTTTCGTTTGTTTTGTATTTCCTCCTCCCTGTGGAGAATCGATGACGGCGGGCCCCCCTCAATTATTATTTCTTTCGCTTAAAGTGAGGGTCGAAACACGATAAGTCTCTGCTCTTGTTTTCTTTTGTCGCTCTTGCTGTTACCAGTTATACAGACAGATATATATAGATAGATAGATAGATATATATATATATATATATATAT